GAGGGAGGGAGGGGGGGAGGGGGGGGGTCAGCCCTTCTGGACCGCTGCTGGGAAACCGGGTCCATTTCTGAAAGCGTTTTTCCTTCCCTTCTCTTCCCCCCCTCCCACCGGGAACCCCGCCGCCTGCAAAGCCCCCGCCCGCCGGCCCGACCCCCTCCTTGGCAGTGCAGTTCGTTTGCTTTGAGGAGCCGGGGCCACTCCGGAGCTTGCCCGGCCCTGCCCTGCCCTGCCCTGCCCTGCCCGGCCGGTGCTCACCCCTCAGGGGCGCCTTAGTCAGAAGGTCCAAGGGCGAGCTTCCCGCTGGGCTCCCAGCACCAAACCTCTGCTTTCTTTGCTCTGACCCGCCCCTGATGAGGGAGAGACCCACGTTGGCAGCCGACTTCCCAGGCCCTTTAATGCTGCAACATGAAAGCTTTCCATCTAACCTGGCTTAGTTTTTCAAAGATAAAATGTAAAAGTAATCACGGATGAGACCATAAGAATCAACATTATCCAAAAGTAAGACATTGGAGGATCGAGGGATACAGTGTATACATTTAATATGAAAAATGCACTGTAAGATTTAAAAGGCTGTAATGCTGCTATTATGCTTTGCATCTGACCCGTGTTACAGAATTAAAATGTCTGTGCTTCTCTTCACCTAAAAATGCTTTCATAGACTGAAAGGTTCTGAATATACAAAAATGTGCTTACACAAGAACTGGCTCTAAAATGACAAATAGGCCACCTTCACAGGGTGCTCCCTTCCTGAAGAAGAAAGTGTCGGATGAACCGCTGAGCCTTATGCTTCTCGGCGAGGCCTGACTTGGGCAGACCAGGAGGGGGGTGCAGCAGGAGGCCCCCAAAGAGGCTCGCTGTTCAGGGGGAAAAGGTGAAAAAAAAACAGTTAGTGCCCCCCACCCACCCATAGGAAAAGGGGCAGCCAGGGAGGGAAAGTGGTGGCCACCCTTCTCGAGACTCACCGCTCCAGTGGGTGGATTTTGGGCCTGGTGGCCTCCGTTTGCTAAACGGGCCAAAGAGCGGATGCTGGCTCAGCCCAGTTCCCTGCAGGATGAGCCTTCATGGTGGCCCAGTCACCACACGGAGGTGGAGGCCCACCGCCTGATCCCTGTGCCCTTCCTTGGCTTATCCTCAGACTAGGAGAGAACCACCCTCTGAAGTGGGCACTGGGCTCACCTACCAAGAATATGCACATCCAGGCGGTTCTTGCTGGAGTGCTGCAGCAGTTCTCGCAGGAAGGCCATCAGGTAGCTGAAGACATTCTTGTGGCATTTGGGGAGCACGGAAACAACCTGCGGACGAGGAGGGAGGCTCTGGTGCACATGGCCGCCAGGCAGCAACACCCCACCCCCCACCCCCGTGGCAGGGCAGCTGGCCCCTCCCCAGGGGGGCGCCCCTCAACCCTGGTGCTGCCTTACCCGGCTGCTCAGCAGGTAGCTGTCTGCAGACTCCAGGCTGCTCTCGTAAAGGCTGTAGCAGACAACAGGCTCAGGAAGGCTCTCCAGGAACAGGAGAAGGGCTTCAGCCACAGAATGATTGCAACCAACTGGCCACCAAAGGTCAAGGAAAGGCTGCAGCCGGCAGGGGCAGCTGGCACCAGCCCATGCAGGGGCAGATGGATGGCAGGAAAGGCCTCCGTGTATTGGAACCACAGAGAGTGGAAAGCAGCTTCTCAGAGCTGACCCCAGAGGAACCCCTCCCTGTTGGGACAATCCCAAACCACTGCTTGGCTGTCAGCTGTCTAGCCGGCAGGCTATCTTTGGGGGAGAAGGACAGGGAAGGAGGGCTGCTTTGCAAAGGCCGTCTAGAATAGGCTCCAAGCTGCTTCAGATGGCCTTCGGGGTGATGGCCTGGCTCCTTACATGAGACTGAAGAACTTCTGTAACGACGAGGGCTGCGGCAAGAGCGTCACCTTCCTCTCCGGCTCCGAAGGCGCCCACGATGCTTCTGTCCTCATCCTCTGAGAGCAGACCTCTCTATAAAGACAGCTCTGACGGACCTGCTTCTCAGAGAAGGCAGGAGGGGAAGCAGGCTGCCCCAGGCTCTGCTGCAGCCATAATTCACAGGGGCACTTTGAACACCCCACGCAAAGTTAATTCGCTGGCCTCGCCGTGTAACAAGCAATGGATCCGCCTGTCTGAACGGTATGGAGACCCACATCGCTCCTCAAAGGATACCAAGGGTGTCCATCATCCCCGTGTCCAGGCAGTCGCGGATCTGTTCAAACTCGGCCCTCAAGCCCGGCTGCTGAAACAAGTCTTCCTATCCGTCGATGGCCATGACCGCAAAAGTCGAGAGAAAGAGAGCACAGCAGAGCTGTTCCCACAGTGCAGGGTCGGCAGGAAGCTCATCCCCTGTCCTCCCAGCCAGAAGCATGGCCGGGCTGCACACTTTGTCCAGCGCAGCCAGGCTGCCTAGCCCACAAAGCCCCAAAGTGTGGAGCAGGCAGCCCTGTGGAACAACAGCCTGCACGACAAAGACCCGGGCAGCCTCAGCAGGAGGTGAGTTTTGCCCCCACCCAGGAAACAGTCCTCCGGCGCGAGTCCCCTCTGGTTTCAGAGCAAAGGTCTCCTTCCCTCTATGGCTGTTTTGTGGTTTTAGGTTCTGCTTGGAGCCTTTGCCCCGGCAGGTGCCCTACAAGCCTCTAAAACACCCAAGCATCCATGCTACTGAAAACGGGAGCATAAGCGAAGCTCACAGAAAGGAGGTTCCTCACCTGCTGGCAAGCGTTGCGGTAGAGGTGGTCCACCATCATCCACAGTTCCTTGGGGATGTCGAGGGGCTTTTCTTCCCAGAGGGCACTGCAGTCTCCAAGCGGCAAGGGCCTCCGGATCTGAGGAGGGAGAGCAGGCTCACCCACAGCAAACTCAGCTTCGAGGGCTCTCGCCTACGTGAGCCACATGCACTCACCAGGTTCCTGATGGCTTCTGGCGGCATTTCCCGGATGGGCTCCCGCATGTGGATCAGGGCCTGGATGGGGCACCCAAAGCAGCTGGGCAGGTAGTTCCCCGACACGGAGAGGAAGTAATCTTTCCCCTGGTCGAGATGAAGCACCAGGATATCCTCCAGCTTGTCCTCTCCGGAGATCAGGCTGGGGGCGGTGGATTTATTCACAAACAGCTCCAGTTCTACCGTCACCTTGGTCTCTTCAGAGAGAAAAGACAGGCATATTGCAGCAAAACCCGGCGGGATGGCATGGGCAGCCTCACAGGGAGGACAGGTGAGGCGGCAGGGCCCTCGTGCGACTCCTCCAGGAGGGCCCAGAGGAAAAAAGGCAAATGGGTTGCAACAGCCTCGTGGGTTTTGAACAGGGGTGGGAAATCCACACGCTTTGTTCCCCTGCTGCCGGCAAACTCTTTATTGGATTGATTGATCAGTTGATTCATTGATTGGTTGATTTTCTATACTGCCTGTCTACATAAACATAGAAACAGTAGGAGCATCTTAGCCCCCTCTCCTCTGCAGGTGACATGCTGGAACAAGCATGCGGTGCGCTTGTGCATGTGCTCACGTGGAGTCACCTGGCAGCAGGAAGCCCTTGCTGGGGTTCGCTCTCAGCCACGGCTTGCAGTAGGCATCTTCGTCAGGCTTGCTGATGAACTCAAACTGGCAAGGCACCGGCCCGTTCTGGACAGTGAAGGACTCTGTCCGAAGCTGCATGTACTTCACATCCTTGAAAAGGAACTGTGCCCAGAAAGGAAAGTGGGAAGAGAGGAGCATCGGTCTCCCTCTGTCTTGGTTCCCCTCCAGCCCCTGCCTAGCACTCTGGCTGGCCGGGAAGAAGGGCACCCCTGCAGGCCAGTCACTGGCTCTGTGGCCTGCCAATCGTGGTATGGATCACCCCCAGCCCTGCCTATACGAGGCTAGGCAGTGGCTGCCACCGTGCCCCTCCTTGAAAGGAAGGAAGCTTCAGGTGGGTCGGCGCTTACCTCCCTCTTGGAGAGGGTGACGGACGGGATGCTGGCGTTCTCCATCTTATCCAGGGAGCGCACAATGTCCTCAAAGGCTTTTCGATAGAGACCCTCATCCACCACCTTCACCTGGAAGGGACAGGTGGCGGCACCATCATCATCAAGGGGGCTTTTACTGCCAGGCAGCTGCCTCAATCCTCAATGGCATCGCCAACCAGGCTGCAGAGGAGGGGAGAGACAAGCCCACCCCGGGGTCAGAGTGAACTAGTGCCTACCCCACAAAGGAGGGGGCCTTTCGGGTGACAGTGGAAGGTGACCTTTGCCTTTTCCCAGGTGTTTTAATTTGATAAATGCTATTGCCTATGACACAATTTCAATGTTTTGCTCCATTTTGTGGTTGATGATGTGGTTTTATTGCACACTTTTTGAACTTTTTGATTGTTCTCCACCCTTCAGGATCCTACTGGATGAGGGATAATATAGAAACATTCTTAATATTAAGAACAAAATTAAGTCAGGATGTCCAATAGACAAATTTCACACCAGCCACTCATGTGGCCCCCGAAAGCCACGGCCGTTCTCCTGTGCAGCCAAGAAACATGATTGACATTGAGGAACACAGCTCGGAGAATGTGCACAGGATTAATCTACAGAAAAAGGAACCTGCAGTTTGGAAGTAGGAGGTATGGGTGGAGGGGCAACTCTGGATCCTGCTCCTCCCTGGGGCACAGCACTCGGGAGAGGTGAAGAAAGAGGGCAGTAGGAGGGAAGGAGCCCACGGGGGGAGGGGGGGCGGCTCCCATGCCTCGTTTTAGCCCAGCAACAGGTGAATGCCTACCCCAATGTCGAACACAGCGCTGACTGGCTTGTGGTCACTGGTCCTCATAGCCATGTGGCTCCGGTAGCTCAGCAAAGACACCGTTTCCCCTTTAAACAGGATCCTGTCACACCAGGCAGGAGCACGGCACTTCTCACTGCAAGGAAGGCCAAGAGGAACATCAGCCCTGACCGGGGGGTGGGGGGTGGGGGGGGAAGGGAGTCAGTCTGGAGTGGCCTGAAGCCACAGTCAGGGGCTGCCAGGACTGAACACTCCAGATGTCATGTGATACCACCAGGCCAGGAAGGAAGGTTCCGGCCAACCCTTCTCCCTGAGGGACTAGCCTTCTACAGGCAGGAATCGTCCTCCTCTGAGGCTCTCTTTGCTCAGCCTTGGGGTGGCCCAGCCTACGGCCATTCCCCACACACCCCTACCCCCAGCAACACACCCACTTGCTATCTTCCTCACGGCATGCATTGTCAACTCATGTGTTTGGGGCTGTGTCTCCAACCTCTTTAGAGAGTTTGGAACTGTTTCCCAGCAAACACGTTTTTGTGTTTGTGTGTGTTTTGCATGTCTTGCACAGATGCTAAAGTGCCTCACAAGCCCTCTAGACATTCTGGTGCTTTGCTATTTTCCCTGGAAAAGAAGGGGGTATGGCTGATGCTGCCCCCCAGCCCCCGAGCCAGCCAGCCAACCCCACGGAGCATGGGCCTACCTGGTGTCCCAGTCATCAGAGCCCGGGTCATATTTATAAGTGGGCTGGAAGGAAATGTCTCCCTCTGTGAAGCCATCAAACACTATTCTGGCCTCCATCTGAGTCTTTAGCTTGGAACATAAAGGAACAAAGAGGCCGTGAGGCGCCTTGACAGAAGCCCCACCTGTGCCAGCCAGAAGGCCCCTCAGAATATCTCTCTCTCTCTCTCTCCTGTTTTAGGCAAAATGCTGGTACAGTAATTACATTTGATTCGCCATAGTTCAGGGTTATTAGAATATTGTATTAACCCACTTTTCCAAAGCTTGAAGAATTAAAACTGCGATGAATTTTTAATTGGTGCCACAGCTAAAAGGCCCTCGTTCTTCACCCCTACAATGGAGGATGCCATGAGGCAACCATCATATCCAACTTCGGGGGGGGGGGATGCGGTGGCAGCAATGGGAACGGGCCACCCGCAAGTGGTGGTGACCTCCGCCCTCCCCCACAAGGAGGCACAAGGATCCGGCCACGGCACAGGTACCTGGTCATACTGCTGCAGAGCATGGAAATCGCCTGCCTCCACCAGCCTCTTCACCCGCTCAGGATCTGCCTCGTCCAACCTGTAGTTCAGGTCCCCCAGCCACAAGATGACACTGCAGGAGTGGGGGCAGAGGAAGGACGGCTGGCCAGAGGACTCCCCACCGCCCATCCCCCTCTGGCCCAGCAGGGCTTCATGAGGACATCCCTCGCCCCCAAGGGCCAGCCCAGAGAGAAGGCCAGGCTCATGGTGCCTCCCCCACCCCATGGCCCACCCTCCCACCCACACGCCTCCATGCACCAAAGGGAAGCACAGGCAGCAGGCAGGGAGAACCCGGAGGGAGGATCGCTCGAAATGACGTCCTCCCTCTGCTCCTGCCTTGCCTTGCCTATGGGGGTGGGGGAGAGGGGACATCTGGCCTCCCCAGCAGCGATGGGGGGGGGAACAAATGATTGGGGAAGTGTTTTCCTTGGGAAAAGAGCAGCAAAGGGAAGGGGGTTAAGCAGCAACAGCAGAAAATGAAACCAGGCATTTCTGGACTGTTTTAAAGGCCCCTCAGCCCAGCTCCCCTCAGCCTCTCTGCCTATGAGCTTCAAAAGGAGAAGCAGAGAAGGAGAGGCATGGGGACCCCGAAGAAGGGCCTCCAGGAAGAAAGATAGCATCAGCTTCCTCCCCTCCCAGGCATCATCTTTGCGCAGATTGGCTCAGTGGCATCCAGTCTGCACACAGCAGAAATTGGGGAAGTGAGACAGTGTGGAGTCACCGCACAAGAAGAGGGAAAGCGCCACATCCGGACCCCTCCCTCCCATCCAGCCCCAGAGGCTCCTGGGCCCCAGTGCGCGCCTCCCCACCGAGCCCAGCAGGGCCAACCCCTCTCGCCCACTCACTCATGTTGGCGGATGGCAAGGGGCGGGAAGCCTGGGTCCGGCGGGCCAAACTGCATGCGAGCGCAGATGTCATGGAAGTCCTGGTTTCGCCGCTCGGTCTCCCCCGGGTGGGCGGCCAGGTGGGCATTCACCACGCACACAGAGGTGTTGTGGAGCCTGAAGCTGATGGCCACCCCGCCCTTGTTGCCCTGAAGGTCAGGAAGGGGTGGGGAAGGCAAGAGAAGGCCCACAT